TGCACAAACAACCACAGTCTCTGAGCAGTAAGTGAGACACAATGCTGTGCACAAACAACCAGTCTTGGAGCAGTAAGTGAGCCACTGTCGTGCACAAACAACCACAGTCTCTGAGCAGTAAGTGAGACACAATGCTGTGCACAAACAACCAGTCTCTGAGCAGTAAGTGAGCCACACTCCCCTGCACAAACAACCACAGTCTCTGAGCAGTAGGTGAGACACAATGCCGTGCACAAACAACCAGTCTCTGAGCAGTAAGTGAGACACAATGCTGCGCACAACCAACCACAGTCTCTGAGCAGTAAGTGAGCCGCACTGCCGTGCACAAACAACCACAGTCAGTGAGCAGTAACCGAGCTGCACTCCCTGTGCATAAGCAACCACAGTCGCTGCTAGCTTAGTCTCTGGGTTCTCGTCTTCTAATGAGCCACCAGTAATGAGCCTCACCTTTGCTCAAAATGAGCTCCATCAACACTCTGCTCACAGCATGTGAGTCAGTCTGTCAAAGCCTAATTCCTAGTGATCTACACAACACTACTAAAAATGAAGCAAGGCACAAACAGCACTGAGGACTGTCACCATTTTATGGGGATATACACTCTACATTCATGAAGTCTTGTCTTCATCTGCTTATGTCAATACTTCATACAATGAGACTTAAAATACTGAAGTTGGACATATGGTTGTGTTTTTCCTTAAAATACCCATGAGCCAGGCATAGTGGATCACACCTAAAATCCCAGCACTTTTGGGAGCCCAAGGCAAGAGGATCACTTAAGGCCAGGAGATTGAGACTAGCCTGAGCAACACAGTGAGAACAGCCTCTCCCTAGCTTAGCTCTAAAAAAATTAAGAATTAGACAGGCTTGATGGCACATACCTATAGTCCTAGTTAGACACTGTACCCAGCCTGAGTAATAGTGTGAGACTTTATCTCAAAAAAATAAAAAAATAATAATAGGTTGGGCGTGGTGGCTCATGCCTGTAATCCCAATACTCCAAGGATCCAGTAGACTGCATGGGCTAGCTTAAACACAAAGAGGGAATTTATTCAATGTTCTCAGAAGATAAAATGTGACTTTCATCTGCAGTCCAGCAATCCAGTAGACTGCTTGAGCTCAGGATTTTGAGACCACTTTGAGCATGAGCAAGACCTCGTCTCTACAAAAATAGAAAAACTAGCCGGACATCATGGCAGGTTTACTGCCCAGCTATAGTCCCAGCTACTCAGGAGGCTGAGGCAAGAGGATAGCTTGAGCCCAAGAGTTTGAGGCCCCTGTAAGCTATGATGCCAGCACTCTACCCAGGGTGACAGAGTAAGACTTTATCTCAAATAATAACAACAACAACAACAAAAATAAAATACCTGAGAAACCACAAGGAAAAAGTGGTGAGAGTGCTAACAAAAGGAGATTGTTACTGACTACTTTAATAGGACCTGTAGTACACAGTAACAAAAATTAGCTATTTTACTATGACATATAGTATATTGAGTAGCTCGATTTTTTTTTAACTATATATTTTTGGATTCCCTAAAAGAGAATGGCAGGTAAATAATATAATTAAATAAAAAAATAAAAAAGGGAAATATAAAATAATTAAAAATTAAATAAATAAATGTTCTAGGACCAAGTTTGGAGAAGACATTGGTCTGTCTGCTCCATAGAAGTTTTGGAAAGTTTATCACAAACATCTTCAAGAGTCTAGGATACACAAAATATTGTCCTAAGTGCTTAGAGGATTTGGCAATCAATTATCTTACAGATCCATATATAGCAAGCATGATAGAAGGCCATAAAAGATGCATACAGAGAGCATAAGGAGTTATTAATTCTGAGGGAAGCTGGAAGGGGTACAGGTTGGTCACTGATAGATTCTCTTTATGTGTTCCCTGCTTACCCTTACTAAGGGTGGGCTCAGAGTTAATGTAGAGTTCATTAATTCACAGGTACCACAAGCACTACTCGTAGGCTGAATACATAATGTGGCTTGAATACACATTGCCTACTATCTTGCAAACATGAGTGACTGTTACACAGAGGAAAAAACTTTAAGTGTGACTGAATTTGTAGTCCCCTTTTTAATCACCAATTGTTTTCCAAGAGCACAACTAACATCATGTGGGAGAATCTCATGAAACTTCAGATAGCAGGAAGGGAAGGACCTTATACTTGGAAATGTCATAAGTCATGATAACTGGAATAGAAACAGCTCTGGATTTGGTATGAGTCCTGGTACCCATTTAACTAAAAATTTATTTAAAAAAAAAAAAAAGGCCCAGTGAGGTGGCTCACGGGTGTAATGCTAGCACTCTGGGAGGCTGAGGAGGGTGGACTACCTGAGCATACAGGTTTGAGAACAGCTTGAGCCAGAGAAAAATAGCCAAGCGTTGTGGCGGGCACCTCTAGTCCCAGCTGCCAGGCAAGCTGAGGCAAGAGAATCACTTGGGCCCCAGAGTTGGAGGTTGCTGACACCATGGCACTCTACTGAGAGCAACAATATAAGACTCTGTCTCAAAAAAAAAAAAAAAGGTAGGTGATGATAATGTTCCCAAGCGATCAGCTGATCGTTTTGGTAGCAGAAAGCCAGAGGTGACAGGTTGTGGGCTGAGGTCAGAAGCACAGAGGGAAAAGATCCTGACACACAGCAGGGATTCCACAATTGGTTGAAAAATACAAAACAATTAAAATAGAATCAGAAATGCTCTGCAAACCACATATGCTCACACAAATACTGGCTACCACTATGATCATCAAGTGGGGTCTGGAGGGATAAGTAACATCTGACAGAAGCTAACAGTAGAGGAGAGGCATTTATTTCAATCTTAAAGAACCTGGAGGAGCACAGGTAGAAAGGTATGCCTACCTGATGTGTTCAGACAGGGTAGAACAAGGATTCTCAGCCAGAGGTGATTTTGCACCTACTTCCTACAGGAAATCTGGCAAAGCGTGGAGACATTTCTGGTTGTCAAAACTAGGAGAGGAGTTTAGGTACGGCTGCTTATGCCTGTAATCCTAGCACTCTGGGAGGCTAAGGTGGGTAGAATGCTTGAGCTCAGGAGTTTGAGACCAGCCTCAGCAAGAGCAAGACCCCATTTCTGCTAAAAATAGAAAAACTATCCTGGCATTGTAGTGGGCACCTGCAGTTCCCTTTTTGCCTGGGGAGGCTGAGGCAAAAAGATCGCTAGAGCCCAGGAGCTTGAGGTTGCTGCGACATATAGTGACTCCAAGAGATACTCTACCCAGGGTGACAGAATAAGACACTGTCTCAAAAAAAAAGGTTGTGCCTGTGGCACAAACAAGTAGGGCACCGGCTAGAGATGGTGGGTTCAAACCCAGCCCCTGCCAAAAACTGCAAAAAAAAGGGGGGGGGGTAGGAGGATGCTAATAGCATCTAGTGGGCAGAGGCCAAGGATGCTGCTATACATCCTTCAATATACAGAACAGCCCCCACAGCAAAGAATTATCATGTTGAAAAAGTCCACTGAGCCAAGGCTGAGAAACCCCGTGGTAGAGCAGTAGCATGTTCATCTCTTACCCTTATTCTACAACGCTCCACTCCAACTGTACCAACCTCCTTTCTATTCCCAGAATACTCAACTGCATGATTCCTTCTCAGAGCCTTTGGATCTGCTGTTCTTCCTGCCTGAAAGAATCTTTCTCCAATAGTCAGTCACAAAGTTCCCACACTCTTCTCTCTCCAGATCTCTGTTCAAATACCACCTGACCAACATCTTCTTAAAAAATCCTAATATATGATATTAGGATTAATAATATATGATACTATCATTAGGATATAAGTCACCATCCCTTACCTTATGTTTTCCCATAGCACTTAACACTACTCATATGACTTGTTTTTTCTGCTTTTCCTGCATCAAATGTAAGAACCATGAGATCCAAGAGCAAATTTCTTAATTATGTTCACTGCTGTATCTCCAGTGGCCAGAATTGTGCATCACATACACTCCAAGTGCCTAAGAAACAGTCATTGAATGAACAAAACGATGAATGGAAATTAGCAGGAGAACTAGCTGGATTCAGGAGAAAGGCAGGGCAAAAATGTAGTCAGTAGTTAAGATGCATGGACTCTAGAATCTTGGTTCTGGTTTGAGCACTACCACTCACTAGATGTGTGATCTTGGACAAACAACTGCCCCTCTGTAGCTCAGTCTTTTCATTAGTGAAATGAAGATAATGATAATAACAGAACCTATCTTGTAAGCAAGTACAGTCACGCAGCAGAGCTGAGCCAATTATTGAGTCTTGGTGGCAATGGTTTAGTGACCAGCTGATGAGGGGAGGGGTAGTTTGAGACAGCCCTTAAGTTTCTTGTGCAGAGGCTGGGATTTGGGGAATAAGTCATTACTCAGGAAGGAAAGAGTAGGTGTGGGAGTAAAAAGGGCCAGAGTAGGGGTGGAGCTTCAGCTGCAGAGGCATCTGAGGCCGGGGGTGCAGGTATGGGCTCTGAAGCCAGACTCTGCTGTAAACCCCATTCCCTCTCTCTGTGCTTCAGTGTTCTCATCTCTTTCAAATGGGGATAACAACAGTACCTACTCTCTAGGGTTATTGTAAAGCTAAAAATGAGTCTGTTTACCCAAACCACCCAGAACGAAGCTTGGCATACAGTAAGTCCTTTGTAAACGTAACCATTATTAAAATGACAACATAGTAGCTAAGATCATGGTTTCTAGCGCCAGAGGATCTGAGCTGGGTTCCTGGCTGCCATTAGCTGGGTAACCTTGGGAAAGTTACATCAACTCTCTGTGCCTCGATTCTTTACCAAAATTAAAATGACCTCGATCTCTGTCTGAAATCACTTCAGCAGAGAAACTTCTACAGGTTTTCTGCGCTCCACCTTTCCTCACCCCAAAGCACTGACATCTGCTGAATAAGTCCAACCGGAAAGCGCCCGCCACAGGTAATGCACCAGCGACCCTACGAATCCGGACGAATTCCCAAACCCATCCAACAGCCCACGCTCACTCAAGAGACCAGAGCTGCCATTTTCATTCCCTCTTCCCACAAAACAGTAACACCCAGAGTGGAGGCCTGGGGCGCCCCCGAGGAGGGGCGGGAAGAGGCGGGGCCCGGCGGCAACGCGCGGCCCTGAGAGCTGGGGATACCGGAGGCTGTGCCCGCGCCCCTCACCAGTAGCAGCTGCTGTAAACGCAAGCATCTCTCGGGGGGCTGGCTGGCTGGTATCGGGCGGCGGCGGAGGGGCCATCCCCCTCCATGGCGGGCTTGCTTGGCCAGGGTCGAGGCCCGAGGCGTAAGGACCCGACCCGACGCACCAAGGGGCTGGCGTTCTGCAGACCTCGCGGGTTCCGGGACGCAGTGGGTGGAGCGCAGGGGGCCGGGCCAGTTTCCGGGTGGTGGAGCCTTGCGCAAGGGAGGCGGGACTCGGGGCGAGCGGGACCGGCTTCGGGAGGGTGGAGCCAGGCTGAAGTGGGCGGGTTCGGGGGGCGGAGTGAGCGGCGCGTGTTCCCGGTGGGCGGAGACGAGGGCGGGGGGAGGGCGGGAATGCGTGTTCCAAGTGGGCGGGGGGTGGGGTGCGGGGGAGGGGCCTCCAGAGTGGGCGTGGTCGGGGCGGGGCCGGCGTTCTGGGAGGCTGTGGCCGTGGGCCGAGGCTGGGAGGAAAGAGGTCACCTACAGGTGGCCCATGAGAGGAGTTAGGAGAAGCTTGGAGTTTGTAAACCGCCGGCTCTGAGTGGTGCTTCGATGTGAGTCTCCCGGAGGAAATGCCTCCAACCTGGCGTTGGGGTTATCAGCTGTGGAGGAACCAGGTGAGACGCTGAAATAAGCTTTAGCATTCTCAGCCTGGAGTCCGCGGGAGCCCAGAGAAGAGGACAGGAGGGAAGGAGATTAATTCCGAATATGACCACTTCGAGGACTATTTTAGAGAAAGATAGCACCCCAAATCTGACTATATTTTAATTTAATTTTTTTTCTTTTGCCATAGAGTCTCAGTTTGTTCCCTTTGGTAGAGTGCTGTGACGTCACAGCTCACAGCAACCTCAAACTTTTGAGTTCAAGGGATCCTGTTGTCTCAGCCTCCCAAGTAGCTAGGACCACTGGGCACCGCCACAGTGCCTGGCTATTTTTAGAGATGAGGTCTCAGTATTGCTCAGGATGGCCTCGAACTCCTGAGCTCAGACAATCTACCTGCCTCGGCCTCCTACAGTGCTAGGATTACAGGTGTGAGCCACCGCACTGGGCCTAACTTAATTTTTTTAATTATAATATCTGTATGTTTTGGCTCAGAAATATATATTGGTTCCTTGCTAATTTTTTTTAAAGTTTAAAGAGTCCATGTGGAACCTTTTTTATGTTAATCATATATTTGTTCATTTGCTGGCAGTCTGTAAGGAAAAACACCAAATTGTTAAAACTGTTTATCTCTGGTGAATGAATGGTATCAGGGACTTCCACTTTCAAGGATGTTCACTTTGCACTTTATAGCCTTCTGAATTGTTTATATCTGCAAGGGAAATATATAACTGATATTTACTTCCCATTATAAAAACTGAAATTTGTAGGATGGTTTTCAGCCATCTGCCATTTGATTCTCATGAGTCCCAAAGCCCATAAATCCTAAAGACTTTGAGCTTAGTCCTTGTGTCAGTTATCAATTTAGAGCCTGTCATCTCAGAATGCAAACTGCGATACAGTGTAGGCTCTATGTTATAAATAACAGAATTCCCATAAATATTTCCCCGTTAAAGTGAGCATGATGTTAAGACTTCTTAGTAAAGAGTGCTGGAGGTGTATTTGCAGGAGGATGAGGCTTCCCACAGTTTCTGGGACTAGTCCAGAGTTAACAGGTGTGGTCACGAAAACATCCTGTGGAGTCTGCAGCAGCCACAGACCCAGAACAGGTCCCCCTGTGACCTTGCAGGGTCAGCTTGGCAATAACCTTTCTTCAGCCTTTTGACACAGAAGCCAGAGCCCTTTGTGGCCTGCAGGCAGTCTCTTATAGCCAACAGGGTCACACACCTAACCGTGGGTCCTTCTGCCAACCACCCCTCTTCTCCACCTCCAACCCCAGTACTCAGACCACCTTCTGCCCCTGCTGCCTTCAGCATTTCCAGGCATCTAACCTAGCTAAACTAGCAAACTTCTCTATTTTCTGGTAGTCAATGCAAGACTTCTCCAAGGGGCTCCAACCCCTTTTTAAGTCTGTTCTTCCTTAGATACCTCCCTCAGCCCTACATATTTAGAATGTTCTTCTAGGCCAGGTATGGTGGCTCATGTCTGTAATGTTAGCATTGTGGAAGGCTGAGGCAGGTGGATTGCTTGAGCTCAAGAGTTTGAGACTAGCCTGAGCAAGAGCGAGACCCTGTCTCTACTAAAATGAAAAATTGAGGCAAGAGGATCTCTTGAACCCAGGAATTTGCTGTGAGCTATAATAACTCCATAGCACTCAACACAAAGCAACAGAGTGAGACTCTGTCTCAAAAATAAAAATGTCCTTTTATCTTGTAGTTACACTTGTATCAGAGTTAATAATTCTTTATACTCAACTTCCCTTGTTTGACTTACTGTGTGGTTTCTTCTCTCTGGATTTTGAGCGAGATTGAGTAGGATCTACCACTTAGTAGTTGTGTTACCTTAAGCAAAGTTACTTCACCCCTCTGTGCTTCAGTTTCCTCCTCTGTAAAATGAAGCTAATGATAACGCTATCTACCTGATGAGGCTGTTAGAAGGATTAGTTGAGTTTACATATAATACATAAAGCATTTAGAATAGTTGCAGGCATGCAATAATAAATGTTAACAACCATGATTTTTGGTATGACCTCACTTCATTATTTGCAGTCTACCCTACTATTCCTTAGATAGGCTAAGCCTTTACACAAGATGTACTGGTATATACCACGTGTCTGGTGTGGTCTTTTCTTTCACCTTCTTAATTTGTAATTTTTCTCACGAAGAGTTTTTGCTTTCTATCTCTCCACAGCCTTTTTCCTGTTTTGTCACAACTTTTTATTCATATGTCTTTCTCTTTTTTTTTTGCAGTTTTTAGCCAGAGCTGGGTTTAAACCCGCCACCTCCGGCTTATGGGGCCAGCGCCCTACCCCTTTGAGCCACAGGCGCTGCCCCATATGTCTTTTTTTTTTTTTTTTTAAGAGATAGTGTCTGGCTCTTTTCTTCTGGGCTGGAATGCAGTGGCATGATCTCCTGGAGGCACATGTAGCTCTCTGTGGCCTCAAACTCCTGGTTCTAGCCATTGTCCGACCTCAGCCTTCCGTATAGCTTGGACTACACTCACATGCTGCTACAAACCCAGCTAATTTTTTTTTTTTTTTTTAAAGAGATAGGGTTTCACTTTGTTGCTCAGGCTCATCTGGAACTCCTGGCCTCAAGCAATCCGCCTGCCTTAGCCTCCAGAGTAGCTAGGAGTTACAATAGGAAAAAGTGTGTAGGTACAGTTTACTCAGCTGTAGTTACAATAGGAAAAAGTGCTGAGGTTCACCCCCTTGTACAGAAGTGAACTGGGCATTTTAAAGGAAGAATGAGGGAGGAGGGAGTGCCAAACCTCAGTAAAGACAGAGAAGTAAAAGTTACAAAAGGTTGGTCAGTGTAAATATGATTGGGACAGCTGTGTCAGCTGGCCAGCAGTTATCTGAGTTAGGATTCTGTCCTCCCACTGAGACTGGGAGACAGAGGCCCTCTTCTTCCTGATGATTACATTTAAAAGGAATGAAGAGGGACTTCTGAGTGGCAAGAGATACATATTTACAATTCTTTTTTTTTTTTTTTTTTTTTTTGTAGAGACAGAGTTTCACTTTATCGCCCTCTCCCTCAGAGTGCAGTGGTGTCACACAGCTCATAGCAACCTCCAACTCCTGGGCTTAGGCAATTCTCTTGCCTCAGCCTCTTGAGTAGCTGGAACTACAGGCACCTGCCACAACGCCCGGCTATTTTTTTGTTGCAGTTTGGCCGGGGCTGGGATTGAACCCACCACCCTTGGTATATGGGGCCAGCCCCCTACTCACTGAGCCATAGACACCGCCCACATATTTACAATACTAAGACCTTTTTACTAAATGCTTAAAGAGAGGTCAGAGGCCTATCATCAGATGTTGGTGGAAAACAAATAGTAAATTTTCCTGGCAGCCTTGAGGTTTCTTAGGCATTTTCATGGGGGACTGGGTCACTCTCACCCTGTGGGCACAGCTGCTTGAAGCCATGCTAGAGTTTGATCATGTCTCTTAGTGCAGGGGATTGGACAGAGTTGTTACGCTGAGAGTTCTGGAATTCTCAGTACCCTACACAATAAACAACTACATAGTTTTGTAATTATAAATATTATCATTATATATCTCTGTGAGCATATAACTGCTATAAATCCTTATTGAAGTAATGGTATTTTTATTAGTTAGGATACAGGTCAGATTGCCATAACACAGAAACCCAGAAATGTTGTGACTTAAATGAGAAATTAATACATTTCTCAAGTAACAGCCTGAGCATATACATCCCAAAGCTGATATTTGGCCTCTGCAGTGTCTGTTACCCAGGCTCCTGATATTTTTGTTTGTTTGTTTGTTGTTTAGACATAGAGTTTCACTTTATTGCCCTTGGTAGAGTGCTATGGTGTCACATCTCACAGCAACCTCCAACTCCTGGGCGATTCTTAGGCGATTCTCTTGCCTCAGCCTCCAGAGTAGCTGGGACTACAGGCGCCCGCCACAGCGCCCAGCTATTTTTTTGTTGCAGTTTGGCCAGGGCTGGGTTTGAACCTGCCACCCTCAGTATACGGGGCCAGCACCCTACTCACTGAGCCACAGGCATTGACCCAGGCTTCTGATATTTTATTGGAGGCTATATCTAGAGTGTTACCCTGGTCAACATGGTTGAAGTGGCTTGCCACCAGATCTGCTATGATTATATTCTGGCTGGCAAGACCAGGAAAAAGGTAATAGAAGGTTCAAGGACAAAATCTGCAAATTGAGCACATCATTTTTGCTCACATTCCTTTGACCAAAGCAGGGCAGCTCAGCACCTGTAGCTCAGTGGTTAGGGCACTGAGGCTGGTGGGTTTGAACCCGGCTCCGACCTGCTAAACAACAATGACAACTGCAGCAAAAAAATAGCCAGGTGCTATAGCGGGCACCTGTAGTCCCAGCTACTGGGGAGGCTGAAGCAAGAGAAACACTTAAGCACAAGAGTTTGAGGTTGCTGTGAGTTGTGATGCCATGGCACTCTGCCGAGGGTGACATGACTCTGTCTCAAAAAAAAAAAAAAAAGATACTCACATGGTTATACCCAGGTGCAGGAAGATCAGGAAACAGAGTTTGTTC